AAAAAAAAAAAAGAAAGAAAGAAAAGAAATGGGCTCTTGGCTGGGCATTGTGGCTCATACCTGTATTCCTAGCACTCTGGGAGGCCAACACAGGAGGATCCCTTGAGTTTAAGACCAGCCTGAGGCTTTGTACCTGTGCTCAGCTGGTGGGTTTGAGCCCAGCCCCAGCCTGCTAAAAACAACAATGACAACTACAACAACAACAACAACAAAATAGCCGGTCATTGTTGTGGGTGCCTGTAGTCCCAGCTACTTGGGAGGCTAAGGCAAGAGAATTGCTTAAGCCTAAGAGTTTGAGGTTGCTGTGAGCTGTGAGATGCCACAGCACTCTCTATCGAGGGCAACATAATGAGACTCTATCTCAAAAAACAAAAAGACCAGCCTGAGCCTGAGACCCCATCTCTATTAAAAACAGACAAAAATCAGCCAGGCATGGTGGTATATACCTATAATCCCAACTACTCAGGAAGCTGCAGGAGGAGGATTGCTTGAGCCAGGAGTTTGAAGTTGCAGTGAGCAATGATGATGCCACTGTACTCTGGCCAGGATGACAGAGCAAGACGCAATCTCAAAAAGCTAAATTAAATTAAATTTAAAAATAAAAATAAAAGAAACGAGCTATCAAGCCATGAAGAGATGTGGAGAAAACTTAAATGCATATGACTAAGTGAAAGAAGCCAATCTGAGAAATCCGCATACCGTATGATTACAACTATATGATATTCTGGAAAATACAAAACTATGGAGACAGTAAAAAGATTAGTAGTTGCAGGATGTTAGGGGAAAGGGAGGGATGAATAGCGAGAGCACAGAGGGTTTTTATGTCAGTGAAAATATTCTCTATTATAATAGCAGATATATGTTATACATTTTTCCAAACCCATAGACTATACAACACCAGGAGTGAACTCTTATGTAAACCATGAGCTTTGGACAATAAAGTATCGATGTAAGTCCATCAACTGTAATAAATATATCATTCTGGTGGAGGATGATAATAGGGTGATTATATGTAGGTAGGGGCAGGGAGTATTTAGAAATCTTTACATCTTCCATACTGTGAACCTAAAACTGCTCTAAAAAATTATCTTTTTGAAAAATATTCTCTAGAGTTAGCTCCTTCAATGTGTTTTCCTCTCCTTAGTCAGAATTAATTTTTCTTCCCATCATGATTTAATAGCACTTTGTTATTGTTATTTTGTCACTTGTATTTTTTTTTTTT